GTTCAGACGTGTGCTCTTCCGATCTCGCATTTATTAACGAGATATTAAGTTTATTTGCCGATCTTCAAAAATTAATATCTTGTTAATGATTGCGAATTTTGCAAAATGGTAGAGGACTTTTCGATTCAGTTTAGTCCGTTCTACCTACCTATGAACGGTGATACACCTATTATGAGACACCCTGTATATATATACATATATATCTAATCTGAACGCACCTTAAAGCCTATATATATACAGTACACATAATCGAGCTGAACCTCGTAAAGATCAAGTTCGACTCCTTTGAAGAAACTCGGCTCAAGGTTAAATTGGCTCAATAATCTGGACATGCCTTTATTTAAAACATGAGTCTTTTGATTGCCTTGGATTAGATTCATCGCTATACAAATCGCGATATATAGAAAAATTTCTCAACATTCATATACGATCGCGTTTTCTTTGTGTGATCATTTTAAGAATTAACACTCGTCGGCATGAATATGAGCCTGCACGAGGCTCTACTGTAGATATCTTTTCGCAATCCGATTGATTTAACTATACAACGCGCAAAGCGTCGACTCACCAGAAGAACAATTTACTGATCGGATTCGCGGATGCCCGTGGATTTGGATTGTCGAGTTTCCTGGCGGCGTCCATGCTTCGACATTGATTGACGCGAAATCGTAGGTCAATTCAGGTTCACCGCTTCATCACAGTTATCACGTCAAACGCATATACTTGTACTGCCTGATCGTGCGTAGGCACGTGCAGATTTTATATATCGCAACACAACCACCCGCGCATGCATGTGTACGTGCGTATACATGCATGCGCGCGCAGCACATATACATAACTCATTACCCCCGGCGCCGGCTGCGTATAGTGTTACTTGTTTATTACGGAAATAGATCCGACGAATCAACTTGCTGCAAGTTGCTGTCGAGGAATTAAGTAGCGTGCAATAAAAGAATCATGAGATCGTGGACAGTAAAAATGTCTTCTGATCGTGATGTTATGTAACTTCTATATATAAAATAGTATGTGTATATGTGTGTGTGTGTGTGTGTGTGTGTG